GGCTCGACTGAACCGAGGTGAAAGCCGAAGCGGGACGAACGGCCGGCCATTGGGTGGAGCCAGCCGTCATCTCGCGGCTGGCTCCGGCCACTTGCAATGACAGATCAGCGTCGCCTAGTTACCAGGTAACCAGGGGACACTGAACTGTCATTACAATGAGAGCCACCGTGATATATATATATGTATAATTACTGTATGTTGAACATTTTCAAAAAGGTATAATATATCCATAATTTCAGCAAACCTTTCTCCTATCGGGTCTCACAAACAAATTTATTGTAATGTAGTTTTATTTTTTCCCTGTAATGATTTGGTATTAGACGCTATATAATTGGCTGTATTTCCAAGCTTGCGTTCATTACAAATACGAATACGTAAAGCTCCATTTTTTACAGTTAACTTTAAATACAAACGCTGATATTCTGACTGCAAATTAATAAACGCTTTAGCCAAATAAATCCCTAAAAACGTAAAATATTGTATGTCCGTCCTTGTATTTCCCTTACTAAATCCTGTCATTGTCATTACACACTGAGAACTTGGCGGAGCCAGCAGTGATATCACGGTGGCTCCGCCAAGCTCTCAGTGTGTAATGACAGTTCAGTGTCCCCTGGTTACCAGGTAGCCAGGGGATGCTGACCTGTCATTACAATGAGAGCTCAGCGGAGCGGGCCGTGATATCAAGGCCGGCTCCACTGAGCTCTCATGACAGTTCAGTGTCCCCTGGTTACCAGGTAGCCAGGGGATGCTGACCTGTCATTACAATGAGAGCTCAGCGGAGCGGGCCGTGATATCAAGGCCGGCTCCGCTGAGCTCTCATGACAGCTCAGTGTCCCCTGGTTACCTGGTAACCAGGAGACGCTTAACTGTCATTACAATGAGAGCGGTACCTGACCAGTAAAATAGTGCCATCATTTTCCAGGTCACAGTGTGCTTTTATTAGCGAAGTGGTTTAACATAATCAAAATGTCTGCTCCATCTGTCCTAAGCTTGACCTTGAAACATGAAATCTAATCCTATGCAAAGAGCTTAGCACAAGATGTGATGCAGCAATGCCAGTATGTAAAGAATGAGGGGGGCCAGCACAATGTTTGATGTCCTCATTGGCAGAATGATGTCTGCTGTTCCCTATGCAATAGGTAAATGTACAAAGCATCAGCACTCTACCGGCAGCAGAACACACACATCTGTTCCTTTGTAAGAGGAAGCGACAATAGGTTCGGAAACATTCTCATCGGGTAGTAAATTAAGTGGCTTGGGGAGTATAGGTAGCAGGTCATGACCCTCCTCCAGGTAACCCTATCCTCCTCATGCCCCTGCACAGTGTGCTTTGGATGTTCATTCGATGACACATATCAGTTGTCTGCCGGTCTATGGTGTAAAGTCTCCCTGTCATCTGTCAGAAACTTCAAGGTCAGGAACACCCCCTCTGCAGGTTCGGATGGAGGTGAGCCTTTGACAGATCCCATACTTCATCCCTCTTTTTTTTTTTTAGCGGGGGGGCTCTGCGATAATATCCAGAGGATGAAATCCTCCGGGCTTTGAATTACCGCGATGCTGAGTAGTGCAGGCTGTGCATTAGATGACTGAGCTTGTGCTGCATTGATGCTGAAGGAGCAGAGCTCTCCCTGCAGCACACACGGCCGGATCCCGCACCGAGCCCCCCCCTGCACAACGGGCTCCCCACCGCCTGTCACCCAGCCGATCAGCGATCGCATCACCGGGAGGGCACCATGCCCCTGCCGACCTACACCAGGGACAGGTCCTCCCTCCTGCGATGGGACGAAGTGCCCGATGATTTCGTGGAGTGCTTTATATTGTCCGGCTACAGGAGGCTGCATCTGACCGCCCAGGAGTGCCTAGCATCCATCTTCCAGCCCACCAACGAGACCCTCAATTTCTGGACACACTTCATCCCCCTGGTGCTGTTCGTCAGTAAATTCTACCAGCTGTTCTTCCTCTCCAGCGATCTACCGTTTAACCACCCTGCCCTGCTGCCCCTGTGGTGCTATGCCTCCGGAGTGCTGCTGACATTTGCTATGAGTTGCACAGCCCATGTGTTCAGCTGCCGCTCCCTGCGCCTGCGTGCCGCCTTCTTCTTCCTGGACTATGCCTCCATCAGCTACTACGGCTTCGCCAGCACAGTGGCTTATTACTACTACCTGCTGCCCAGGCTCGAACTGCTCGATCCCACCGTCATGACCCCTTACCTGCAGAGCCTGGGCTGGCAGCGGGTGGATTACAACATGCTCCTGGGTCTGTACAGCGAGCTGGTGCTCCCCGTGGCTTTTGTCCTAGCGGTGACGTGCACCGTGGCGTGCTGCAAGAGCCGCTCGGAGGATTGCTCCTACCCGTTCGCCATCCGCACGTTTGTCTTCGCGATGCCCCTGAGCATGGCGTGCCCGGTCATGATCGAGAGCCTGCTGTTTGACCTGGGCAGGAAGAACCCCACTCTCTTCGTGTATTTTTACCGGAGATATTTCTGGCTGCTGGTGGCAGCCTTCTTCAATGTCAGTAAGATCCCGGAGAGGATCCAGCCGGGCTTGTTTGACATTATAGGACACAGCCACCAGCTCTTTCACATTTTCACCTTCCTTAGTATTTATGATCAAATGCACTATGTGGAGCAGGGGCTAGAACAGTTCCTCAAAGCACCGCACACCTCCCCGACTTTGCAGGGAACAATGGGGTACATGGTGCTCCTGACTGTATGCCTGGGCTTTGTAGTAAGAAAATACATGAAAGGACTGTCCAACACCAAACAGGACTAAAGACAACTAGGGTGATGAGTCCTGCCAGGGTGCAACCCGAGGCATGTGCCCGTCCGGGGGGTTTCTTATAATAAGGGCATTATCTAGTGCAGCCATTCTCAACCAGGGCAATGTGGAACCATAGAGTTCCACGTTGCCCTGTGGCCGATTGACCTCCTATCTGATGGTGCCTGCATAGTTCTGGGTCCAGCGCCAGTTGGCAGTGCCAGCAGCAAGACACCAATGAAATTTCTAGTCAGTAAGTGTGGTAATCTGGCCACCATTGTATGGGGGAGACCACCCATGAAAGGGGACTTCTTCCCCAACCCCTTTATATATTTATTTTAGCAGAGGTTTCCTGAGACCTGAACATTTTATCAAGGGATGAGAAAGGCTGCCCTAGTGCAATACACATTTGAGAGCAGGTCTCTGTTGAGAAACTTTGCATAATCCTATGTATTGACTTCACAAGCAGGCTGCTAATGTTGATGTTTTATCCGTATCATTAACAGGTCCAACTTATGATTCTGAAACCCTTCCTAGCACATTTCAAGAAGAGACCATCCGTCATATGTATTTATTATTGTTTGCACATCCCCTTTGATTTCAGTAGAATAACATTTTTTTTTTTTTAACCCTGTGCCCATTTTATTCTGTGTCCATGGTACTATGCCAGGAGTGGTTGCACCCAGGCAGACTTAGGATAGGCTAGAACTAAATTATTTAAAGATGCATTCACTCCTCGCATATTAAACAAATGGCAAAAACAAAACAAAAATCTCTCTATGTTTTGTCCGAGTCTCTTTGCCCTCTACCAAATGAGTATTGATAATATGCAGAGATGACGTTTAGACTCAGTTTAACAGAATGCTACCTCTTGTATATCTTGGTTTATTAATAGTTCAATACATAAAGCGGTAGCGTACAGTAACCCATAGCAACCAGCTTCGAGTGGGTACATTTCCGGTTGGTTGCCTGGAATTACTGCACTCTGCGGTTACTGGCGTCGTTGCCCATTTATTCCAATGCATGCGTTCCAGGCAGCTGTACATATATGACACGCTAATCTTCCAGGGGATAAATCTGTGTAATACTGTTTCCTCTTATGCACATCTACAAAAAGATTTTAGCTAAAGTTGGCTAATCTATAGCATTCAAGTTCATATGGAGGATTGGGTTATATAACCTTTGCATATAGCTGATCCCAAAGATACTGTAAATGTATCTTCATTTTACTATTAGAGCTTTGTTTGTTTGCATCACAAGAATGCATCACAGCATGGTAATTCTGCAGTCTTTTCCCTGATGCTGGCAAGCCACCGCTGAATCACTTGAATAAGCACTTTCTTGAATAGCTGTATTTCCAGAAGAGTGGATGCATCTTTAATTGTCCTGTGCAATCCCCGAGGGGCATTCATAGTTCTATTCAGTTAGGATATTGCAAATGAAAGTGTGGGACACCAACCAGTCACTTATTTTTTTGGATTCCCGATGCTTGTGTCATTTAAGCTTTTGTCTTTTTCTTTTTTGGGTCATCTGCTCTGGGATTAGCTTTTCAATGTAAACAGTTTGGCAGCTGCATTATCTGCCTGCTAATGTCCTCTCTGTTCTGTGCAATATGTAGATGCCAGATTCAAGGAAGCAGCATGGGATGGAACAAGACAAGTCTTCAATTATTTCTGGCCTCTTGTTCTCATTCATAAATAGATGATCCTTCCTAGGCCAGCTGCTAACGCACAATGTGACCTAACTGTGGAGGACGTTTAACCTGCACAGTGCTGGACAGAAAAGCTAGGTACTACTGGGGGGTGGGGGGGGGCGCCCTCGCTTATAACAAGCCTTCAAAATCTGTACAGAATTCTCAATGCACTTAACACTTTCAGCACCAAAGGGCTGGGCTCCACATTCCACTGCATTGCCGTGTTGGCTGCTTTACGGTACAAGGGTCTGCTGTGATTGTTTTAACCCTCTCACTGCACCACCGGACCTGCCATACGTTTTGGCTGAATGTGTTTTTTTTTTTAATGTATTCCTTTTGAGAGGTGGGTGCTAGTTATAAGCGACTATTAGATCTCAATAAAAGGAATTGTTATGTCAGAACAGTGTTCTGTAAACCAAGGCAGCACATAGAAGGTTATAAGCCACCATTTTGGTTATGTTACTACTTTAATACTGTATGTAATATAAGCAACTCACAGGCAGAAGAGTCTTTCTTAAATAGTGATTGTTTATGTCATTTAGAATGTTTTCCTTTTTTTTTTTTTTAGTTACAGCTATTACCCTTTGTGTGTGGTTTTTTTTATCAGTAAGACAATAACAGAATCATATTAGGTAAAATGTTTCAAAAAATACCTTCGCTAACCAAGTTGGAAAACCAGGCCTTCCAGTTTTGTGTGATTGGCTCTGATATATTGATGTAATATAGGAAGGATACTTTATTAGAAGAAATATTCTTTGGTCTAGCTCAGGAAATGTGTGTTTTGTTCTGAACACTCATAGGGGGAACACGATGCAATAGAACTATGGTAGACTTTACTGGCAGATAACCACTATGTGTACCAATACACCTCACTCTAGTGATCAGAAATCTGATATTCAAAGAAGAACTCCAGGAGTTTAAAAAAAACTTACCCTTGCAGTGGGGCTACCCCTGCACTGCAAGGGTTAAAGTAGTATTAAGGTCTGGGCGTTTTTTTACCTTAATGCATTCTCTGCATTAGGGTAAAAACGGCCCATCATCTTTTTTCTACCCAATTCCCCCCCACACTTACCTGTCAGCTGTGCTCGTCCCCTCCGCCGGTCCCGAAGTGATCCTCTGTTCCCCCGAACTTCCGGGTTGCGGGGGGAGGATACTGAGGGCAGGGGAGCCATAGGCTCCTTCTGCCATCAATCAAAGAGGGAAGGGGCGTGGCCTGCCACAGGGCTGTGTGTGTCTATGGACGCACACAGCCGCTGCGGGCATGAGCGCACACGGGTGCCTCCATTAGAACGATGGTGGCACCCGTGCAGGGGGCGGGGGGAAGAGCATGGCGGGAAACCCACTAGAAAACGAGGAATGAGGAACTTTTAAAGAAAAAAAGCAACAGCCTCCAGCAAAGGAAGGTCTCCTTAAAGGAGATATTTTAAAAAAAATGTGGCTTTTATATCACTTTAAAGTGTATTTCCACTTTCACCGCCAAATTGGGATAACACCGATTTTATATTTGTTACATGTTCCCATTCACATAGCATAAGCAAATACAAATATTTTTTAAAAATGCTTCTTGCAGTTTAAATTGCTTTTAATGGGGTTAGGGTTTCTTGACTTCTTAAGGGTTAAAATTTCTACTTGCTTCTCCTTCTTTTGTAATGTTAGGAGGGGGTTGTGAGGGGTGAGGGGCTTCTCCATTATATCCTCAAATTTTAGTCCCAAATACTGCTGTCGGGACAGATCACTGTGAAGGTGCTCAGAAAAACATGATATTAGTTATGTTGCTTGCTGCAACAAAATACCTAAAAGGTAAGACATATTTTTTAAAAATGTTTTAATATGCGTGAATAGATACACATAACAAACATATAGAAGGGTTTTTCTCAAATTTGACCGCAGAAGTGGAAATACACTTTAAGTGCTCTTTTTGTCTAGGGAGCTCAAAGAAAGCAGATAGACTCACCTGATCTTCAGTTCCACAGCGGTGAGTGCTCATTTCTCTTCCGCTCCACTCCGGCTGTGGAATGTCCCTCAGTGTCCTCATGTCTAATGCAAGTCAACTGATCTGCATTAGAAGTGATGATGTCAGCAGTCCTTAGACCACTGGAACCCAGGAGAGAAAAGGCTGCAGGGACCGGCCCAGTGATTCGGCGGGACGTAGGCTCTAGTCTGGATCTGTGTATATCTGCTTTATTTGAACCCTCCTAGACAAAACAAGCACTTAAACCTTGCAGTGCAGGGGTAGACTCGCTCCAAGGGTATGTTTTTTATTTGCCGGGAGTTCTTTAAAAAAACAACACCACTAAGCACTATTTCCATTTTAAAGGTCGGTCCACCCCAAAACTAAATGGACAGTTCACCTAAATCCAAAGGGCCAGTCCACCCAAAACCCAAGGGACAGTCCACCCAAATCCAAAGGGTCTGTCCACCAAAATCTAAAGGGCCCGTCCACCCAAAACCAAAGGGTTAGTCCACCCAAATCCAAAGGGTCAGTCCACCCAAAACCAATACTTCAGTTTTTCATAGTTGCTGGAGAGCAAAACCACCTAAGGGCTCATGCACACCACATGCATTTGGCTGCACTGATCAACAGTCCCAGCACATGGACAGGCAAAAACCCTTGTTTATGTCACCAAAGCATATTGCAATGCTGCATTGCACGTTAGGTGAAAGAGCATTGTCAAAGAAAATTTAAAAACCTGCATGGCAATGCAAATAAAAATGCAACGCATGCAAAAAAAAGACTGCAGCTTAAATCACCAGTGCAAAATGCATATGCGTTGACGTGTGTGCTGTGGTTTGAACCTGCCCTAAAGGTTTCTTATATAATATTTCCTGGAGACTCCAGTTGTGAAATACTGTATCTGCACACCAGTAAAGTACCAGTGGCCAGTACAATGGGATCTTACTCACCCAGTTGAATTTTTTATTTGTTTTATATAAGTCACTAGAATAGGATGTTTGGGAATGCCCAAAGGTGGACAGAAACACCCAAAACTCCTAAGTTGGGTGGGAAAAGAGCCAAGAAGTATGACATGGAGATGCCACCTCTGGAGACTTCAAGAGATATACGAAGTCAGGGGGTGACTTAGCCCAATAATCTGCATCTACAGCTGAAATCTCTCTTTTGAGTAGACTGACCTTCTAAAGTTGTATATAACAGAACTCCATAGTTAATTTATAAAAACATTTGGGGTCTTCATTGAAGGAGTTATGTGTGGTCACATCTCTGTAAAATGTTATATTTTTATCAGTGGTGGCGTTGGCACAGTCACAGCTTCCCTTCGGTAGACTCTCAGTGGTGTTAAAGCAGGGCACACGCATGAAACATGTAATTATGGGTGTCTGATGTAGATCTAGTTTGCATGTCAGTGGGCATTTTGGCTTCAAAAAAATCAGAATTGGTAAACGCTTATATTAAAAACGTA